GTTAATAGATGAATCAATTTAAAAAATAATTAGTTTTAATCAATTAGTGATAATTAATTTTGCTTTATGTAGAAAAAAAAGAGCTTATTTCTGCAGTATTGAGATATAGCAGTGATTTTAATTAAGCTTCATCGCTTTGATAAGCTTTGTTTTAAAAAAAAGCATTTTTAATAAAAATGTACTTATCCCTGATTAATGTCAGTATCATACAGGTTATGAAAGTTAAGCTAGACTACGCAACTTGCTGAGTACAAATCTTTAATAGTGAAGTGATACAAGATTGCTGGGAGTCAAATGAAAAAAAAGGGTTGTCCTTCCTAAAAGTACTTAGTTTAATAGCAGTACTGGTACTTTGAGTCTAGGATGGTTCAGACATACTAATAGGCAAACATCCCTTGGCCAAAATTATCTTATCTATAATATGAATACTGGGTAGAGCTCAGTGAGAGTATTCAGCTCGCAGCCCAAGTGGGCAACATAAGAGGGATGTACGAAGGAATCAAAAAGGCTCTCGGACCCTCCCAAAACAAGACAGCACCTCTGAAATCAACCACTGGGGAAATTATCACAGACAAGTGCCAACAAATGCACAGATGGGTTGAACATTACTCAGAGCTTTACGCCACAAGCTCAGTCCCTGAGTCAGCCCTTAAGGCCATCATACAATTACCCACAATGAACGAGCTAGATGAAACATTCACCCTTTCAGAGCTCAACATAACCATAGACAACATTGCTGCCCGCAAAGCACCCGGATGTGATGGTATCCCCCCAGATCTTCTAAAACAATTCAAAACTACTCTAATCGAACCTCTACACGAACTGCTTTGCAAATGTTGGCAAGAAGGGGTTGTGCCACAAGACATGCGGGATGCTAAAATCATTACACTGTATAAGACCAAAGGTGACAGAAGCAACTGCAACAATTACAGGGGAATCTCCCTCTTTAAGTATTGTAGGCAAAGTCTTTGCTCGAGTGATACTTCCCCAGGCTACAAAAACTCGCTGATCGGGTCTATCCAGAATCACAATGCGGCTTTCGCTTAGGGAGATCCACGATTGACATGATTTTCTCAATCCGCCAACTCCAGGAAAAGTGCAGAGAACAAAGGATGCCTTTGTACATTGCGTTTATTGACCTGACAAAGGCCTTCGATCTAGTTAGCAGAGATGGCCGCTTTACAATTTTACAGTTAATAGGCTGTCCACCCAAGCTACTAAATGTAATCATATCTTTCCACCAAAATATGATGGGTGCAGTACAATTCAACGGTGCCAGCTCTGAAAGTTTCAGTATAAACAGCGGAGTTAAACAAGGATGTGTCCTGGCCCCAACCCTCTTTGGAATACTATTTTCACTGCTAATCCACAACGCGTTTGACAAATCCACTGAAGGCATCTATCTCCATTCTCGATTTGATGGCAAACTCTTAAATATTGCCAGACTGAGGGCCAAAACTAAAATCAGAGCCACCCTCGTAAGAGATATGCTATTCGCGAATGACGCAGCGGTAGTGGCACACACGCAAGAGGAACTTCAGTCTCTAATGTCCCGCTTCTCTCAGGCCTGTAAAGAATATGGCTTGACTATTAGCACGAAGAAAACAAATGTTATGGGACCACCTGCTATAGCACCACCCTCCATCCTCATAGACGATAACAAGCTGGACGCTGTAAACGAATTCTGCTATCTGGGATCCACAATTACAGATGACCTGTCTCTAGAAGAGGAGATGAAAAAACGCATAGGGTAGGCTGCCTCGACATTCGCTATACTCAGACCAAGAGTTTGAGAAAACCATAAGCTAACTACGGTGACCAAAATGGAAGTCTACAAGGCATGCGTTATGAGTACACTGCTGTATGGCAGTGAATCATGGACCACCTACGCAAAGCAAGAGAGAAAACTAAACTCATTCCATTTGAGATGTCTCCGTAGGATCTTGAATGTCACATGGAAAGAAAAAGTGTGCAATACTGAGATCCTTGCGCGATCAGGTATTCCCAGCATCTTTACAGCCCTCAGACAACGCCGTTTGCGCTGGCTTGGACATGTTCGCCGGATGGAGGACAAGCGCATCCCGAAAGTCATCCTCTATGGTCAACTCGCGACTGGCACAAGAAAAACTGGTCGCCCCACCTCCGTTACATAGATGTAATAAAACGTGACCTCAAATCAGTGAACATCAATACTGACTATTCGGAAGACATAGCTCTAGACCGCAACAGGTGGAGAGAGACAGTGACCAAGAAAGTTATGGACAGTGAAAGTACATGGGTCTCAGCCCAGGAAGAAAAACGCACAATCCGAAAAACGGCCAGCTCCTCTACCACCGAAGCAAAAGCCACCTTAACCTGCGCTATCTGTGGACGGGAGTGTCTCTCCAAAATAGGGCTCCACAGCCACATGAGGAAGTGTGCTCTGAGATGAACCATAGTCGTCCTACGACTGAAGGAGGCCAATGATACAAGATTGCTGGGAGTCAAATGAAAAAAAAAAGGGTTGTCCTTCCTAAAAGTACTTAGTTTAATAGCAGTACTGGTACTTTGAGTCTAGGATGGTTCAGACATACTCATAGGCAAACATCCCTTGGCCAAAATTATCTTATCTACAAGGGTAGCGTAGATGGAGCATACAGGCATTCTTCGCCATCATTGTCCCACTCCTTACACAGGTCAAGTGTCCAGTAAATCAAATTAAATGGTGTGTAGGTAACTGAAAAATGTACTAATATTAAATTGAATGAGGACAATAAGTATGAACCAAACATAACGTTGGAGTTTAACTAATTTCATGCCCCACGGATTTTGCACTGAAACTCTCCACACTTCTGTTTTCATGTGTCCCATTCGTTTGTAAGAAACAAAAAAAGTATTAGTGACAATTCTGTTTCCTGCTGGCAAATATGTGCAACTACAACTTAAAAAAAAAAATTATTTAATAAGAAATTTGAAAGGAAAAATAGACAATGTCTATTCAGTATATTTAAAATGCTAGACCCTCATAGAAAAAGATATTTTGAAAGTATGTGTAATGACTGTCTGGGAGTATAAACTTCTTTCATAACAATGTTGTATAGTAGTGATGGTTAGACCTCCTCTACACATCTAGCTTGGATAATGATATTTTAAAAACTATTTACAAGATTAAACATCATGGAGCTGTGTTTACTTTTAATGAATAATATTTAAATGTAATCCAATTAGGACAAAAATTATTTGTTTTTATCACATTAATTCAAAGTAGGCTGGGAGATTGTGTGTGATTCCATTAAGACTTTGGGTTACAAAGTATGCATGCAGTCTTATAAAGACGAATTACTACTTAAATATTGTAACATCTGTTAAACAAAAGGCTGTCAATCATCATTTAGCATCTGCTTTGCCATTTTGAAATATGTAGATTCCACCTCACCTTTCCCTAAATCTGACGTGCACCACACAAGATCTGTTAATCATCTTTCTTCATTTCTCTGTCTTTTGAGGGCACGAAATGGCCTAAATTGTGCAGATGTGCCAAATCCCATAAACTCTTGTCTTTTGAAATGGAAAAATCATATTTTAATGACAGAACCATCCAAAATTTTATGTTGTCTTCCCATCCCTTGCAGTCTGTCTTTTCTTCTTTTTCCTGGTACTGTTCCCTTTAAGGAAGGTCTTTGCGAGCACTGAACCTTGTGATATGGTCATAGAGTTTAAGTTTTTGACAGTAGTTAGCAGGTCATCCTGGGGTCCAATTACTGTATTATCCTGTTTCCAATCTCTTCTTTAATTACCGACATTCAGTCTTTGTGATATCTAGGATCATTCTGTACATCTCAATGCCATTGCTAGGATCCTCCTCTCGTTATACAATCAGCATCCAAGATTCGCAATCATATAAGAATGTGGCTATGACCTGGGAATGCGTCAGTCTGATTTTAGTGTTGAAGGGTGGGCTTTTTACAGATTGTTTTTAAGTTTAGATAAGTGCTGCTGTGGACTGCAATTCTTGCCAGTATTTCAGGTTTGGTTCCTTCATCTGAGACAATAGCTCCGAGGTATTTAAAACTGCTGACACTTGTCGCCTCCAATACTTATCTCCCTAGCACTACTCCCAGTAAATGGAACAAGAATTTATTTAAAACGTGTGCCTGTGTTCTTGTTAACATTAAATGAGATCTGTGACTGAGTGGCAAACACCATTTGGCTATCTATCAAGAGGGCTCAAGTTCAGATCCAGGCTGAGCACACTAAGCCCAACCCATCTTGGACCATAGTGCACTGAGTAGACCTTAGCATGATAGAGATGCCATACAAAATATTTTTATATGCTAGTACAAAAACATATTGGATGCTTTTTATTCTCAAGTGCCAGTAGAGACTGGAATGGTTTGCCCAAAAAACAAATGATTTGGTAGACTATAACTTTTATGACATTCATGACTGTATTGACACATCAATACACTTGGGACATAATAGTCTTCTTATTCTGAAAGAACATCTGTAATTAGTATCCATTACTATATTGTTTTTTTTTAAAGTATTTTAAGTTTCAGTAAATTAATATTGATCTCAAATCCCAAATGTAAAGCTGCAGGTTTCAACCATTTCTAGAGTTTATAGATTTTTAAAAATATCATGAAAACAAAATGATTCCTTCAAGGCAGTGAAAGAGAAGTGTTCAACTGGTTCATAGGCTGTGTTTGGGATTATTTGAACTTACTGCTCAACTGTTACATACCTAATAGGAAATGGATGAACAAATCTAGGTCTTTATCCTTGATTGTAGCTAAAGATAGATTTATTGTGTAATAAAATTGTATCAAACTATTAGATGTTTTTAAAAAAATGCTATATTGGCAGCAGGCTTCTTATCAGAACTTTTATTTCCTTCCGGCTTTAGTGTTTGGGTTCTTCTATCATTATGTTATATTTTTTAAAATGTTCCTTAATAAAGGAAACTTGGGTTCGGCTTTTTGGAATCCATAGGCAAATACAAGAGCAGAAACAAGGACAAGCATGTAAATATGTTTTTATTTCAACTCAAAATTTGGACTACAACAATAAAGAATTAATTGACTGTGTGTGTTTGTGTAAATGTGTGTGTGTCTTCATGTATGAATCAAATAAAGGACAGTAAACTTGTAAGTAAATATCTTATCCCAGTCAACTGTAACCCATACCAACAAATAACAACAATGTATAGTAACCATAAGCAGTGTGGAGGCTCCCTAGGATTAGTGCATAAATGTATGCAAAATAGAATAAGTCAATGCAAGGCCCAGATAACCCCCCCCCCCCCCAAATGACTAAGAAACAGAATCCATTATGCTACCTTAACTATAACTTGAATGACTTTTTCAAGTTTCTTTAGAAGTATCAGTGTATTAGTTTAGTCACAACCATAAAGGGTGGAAAATAATATACAATTCTCTTCCTTTGATTAAGTTCCCAACACAGAGCTGTGACTATGTTTCTCCACACACCTTCATGAGGGGAAACAAAACAGAAACAATAAACTGGTTAAAAAAAATACAACTCTGTACTGAGGAAAGACCTACACTGGACAGTGAAAGTACTTAAAGCATTTGAACGCCACCTGATCCAGCATCTTCAGTCAGTTGGTTCAGTTGACCAGACAGCAGAGCTTGGACGGTTTCCAGAGACAGGCCCTGGGCACCTTGCAGCTGATAGGTGTTGCCGTCAGCACTCTGAATAATTATAGTACCATCTTCTGTTTGATAAATATTTGTTCCCTCAGACAAATAAATCTGGTTATCTACCTCATCCCCGCTGGGCATTCCACTGTCCCTTGTGTCCAGGAAGTGAACATCAGCATCCGGAGGTTCGGACACTGGCAGGTTATCAGACAGCAAGTTGATAGAGTCCTCTGGAGTTTCTACAGACTGTAGTAGGGATCTGCCATTCAGATGAACAGAGGCATTGGCCTGTTCATACTGTAGTCCTGACATGTCTGCTAATATCATCGAGGAGTTGTTCAAAGACTCACCTGTCTTAATATCCTGGCTAACTCCATTGGTGTAAGGGCTGGAGTGGAGCACGGTGGAGCTAAAGCCCATTTGGGCTTTAGAAATGATAAAATCTCCAGTGGATGTGGCACTGGATACCACTAATGTCCCAGCACTGCTGTTGCTGCTGTCTTTGATACTAATTGGGGGTGAGGAATTGGTCGAGAAATCTGTTGAGCTGCCGTTAATGTACGCCATGCCATCCAGTACGCTAATGGTTCCATTTTGTATCATACCAAAGGATGGTGAGGATGTGACAGAAGCCTCCCCTGTTGTGACATATTTACAATTAGAGTCAGTGGCCTGGGTGTGAAGGAAAGAATCTGCCTCTGTGACACTGGAAACAGAGACGAGGTCAGTTGTTGAGAGTGTGCCACTCAAGTTATCAGCAGAGACTGCCAGTGCACTAAGATCATCAGTGAAACCCAGAGAATTCAGTACCTCAATGTCATCCATTTCTGACTCAGAGACAATCACCTGGACCCCAGATGCTTTGTTAGGACTGGCATTGAACTGTTGACCAGATGGAGGGGTCACCAAAGTCCTAGTAGAAAGCACTGGTTTGGGTTTATTAACCTCTGTCCTGTTGCTACTGACTATTGGAGAGATGACCGGAACAGTTGAAGTCCTAGCAGGCAAATGTGGCTGGAATACTGTTTGAGAAGTTGATAATAAGCTAGCCGTTTTGTTACTGCTGCGGCCATTGGAGAGCGCAACAGAGGTGGAAATAGTCAAGGATGTGGTGTCATGGAAGAGCTGCCTGGAAACCTTGACTTCTGCAGGTTTCGCCTGGCTCAGTATCGACCGAGGGTGGCTGACTGAAGGGCTGGCTGTTGTGCTGAACAATGAAATGGTTGACATGCCCTGAGGTTTGCCCACAGTGGACTGACTGGGCACAAGAATCTTGGTTTGTTGGGGGGGTTGCCTAACCACCACTCTGTGCTGAACTGAAGGAGGTGCAGCTGTCGCCAAAAGTAAAGTTGTCGCATTTGGCTGTTGGCTCGCAGTGGTGGCTGGTGCCGAGGCCTGCTGACTTTGTGGTGTAGCTACTAAGATTTTTGGTTGGACACTGGAGATAGTTGGCAAAATTTGCCCAGTGGTCAGCTGAGGGGTGATGAGGACAGGGACAGACTGACCTTTGCTGGCCCCTTTGTTTGCCCCAAGAAGATGCTGCCCTTTTGTGTCAGCCAGGACATACGAGACTGTAGTTGGCTTTGTAGTTGGGCATGCTATATGAACAAAAGGGGATCTGACAGTGACAGACGACACAGAGACTGGCTTGGAAACCGATGAGGTGAACGTTGGGGGAGATGAAGATGTTGTCACCATTGATGAGGTCACTGCAGTAGAAAAGTTTAACTGTGGGGATGTCACAGATGACAAGGAAAGAGAAGAAACAGACGACAATGAAGAATCAGACCTTGAAATAATAGTTTTCTCTTCAAGGGATGAACCCTGTTGTGACGTGACCACTGATCCATTCACATTCACAGGCTGAGACAATCTATCCCAGGAGACATAGGTACTTATTTTCGGCTTCTTCACCTGATTTTGCCCTTGTTCTAGGGGCACCTCAGAACCTGAACGCTTGGCATCTGGTTGATCTAAAGTTGGTTTAGTATTTGATACAACAGTCAATGCTGCAGCGGATAGTTTATTATGCAGAGAAGAAAAGGAGTTACTGTCACCAGGTGGCATTTCTCTGATTCTGTAGGTCAATGTATCTAAGCCTAAACATGTTGCCAAATTTTTGTCAGACACCTGAAAATAAATTTTTAAAATTAACAATGAATATGTCTTATCAATTTGACTAATTGTTAACATCAATTTTTCCTAATCATCTTCCGAAATAAAAGGACTTCCCAGAAAAACAGTGACATGATAGACGTCCATTCTTATTCAGGTAAGATGTACTAACATATAACACGCTAAAATCACACTGCATGTCACAGAGGGGAGCATACTACTAACAAACTTTGGTGTAAAATATGAGGATCCTAGTTGACTTCTTTTATAGTCTCTTTCAGCCCCCATATAGTCTAGATCTTTTACAGCTAATGAACAAAAATAATCTATTTTGAAAATTGGATTACACAATTGTGCATACAATAAATAAAGTTAATTTTAAAGACCAAAAAAAAAAAATGCTTTAGGAATACCTAAAGCTGAACATATCTTAAACAAAATGAAAAAGACAACCGTGGAATTCAATGAACCATCATGTAAGGGTTTCAAGGACTGTCAATGCTGGGGGTAAAAGTTGGGTTATGCTCCCACTTTCTAGGAAATGCTTTCAAGGCTTGTGTCTCTTAATGCCTCCGACAGTCAAATCCAGGTTCAGGCCTTCACACATGATTTTCTCATAAACCTATTCTTTACAAACTAACAGGAGAAAGAATGACAGGTGGACTACTGGTGCCTGAAAACCAGTTTTGCTTTGTAATGATGGGACATGTCAGACTTAATAATGCACACCATCTAGGAGAAGGAAAACTTGACTCCAAATCTCCACTTGGTGAATATATTTCCCCGAGTGGATATCAGAGCCAAGGATCCAGGATCTGACTATTCCACAGGGCATACCCATTGAACAGTCTACTTTCCTAATGAAGACTTTTTCATTTCGAGAGCTCGGTGAATGATGGAGAATAGACCCATCTTGTCCCATGGATATTCCAGTCACAGCTAGACTCAGATGTTCTTTTACTTCAACATAAGAGCAACATACAAGACCCAAAACTTTCTTAAAATGAGATTTTACAGAAAGCATGAGAAGACCTACACAATATTTTCTGCAATAGAGCCTACAGCTCAGGAGCAAAAATAGCTTAAAAAAGAACCATCATGTAGATGAAATGTTTATAAGTGAGTTTATAAAATATGTATAATTAATTTTTAAAATTTCAAGAGTTTACTTTTGTAAGAACATAAATAGCCTTTGCACCTTTTTGGAGCACAGTAAAAAAGAACAGACGGAAAGCACAAACATTTTATTTATATAGTGTTGTGTATATAGATTTTCTGATGTATTTTCTTGCACAAACTAATGACATACAGGGTGCGTCAAAAAAATGTATAAACACTTTTAACTGTCATAGACAATTTACTTCCCGTTCTACAATGCTAAATTTCAGCACATGGAAAGCTTAATGTCCGATTGGAAAAATAAATGTGATTAATGTGAGTAATGTTCAAACTGGTGGCCTTCAGCATCAATACATTGCTGAGTACGAGTCAACATTGATTCCGTACATTGTATCAAAGTGTCCACCGAGATTTCTGTGCACACCGCCTGAATCTCATGCCACAGTGTGTCCAGGTGACGTGATTTACGTTTGTACACCCCATCTTTAGCTGTGCCCCATAAGAAGAAATCCAGTGGCGTGAGATCTGGAGAGCGTGCAGGAAACTCGATTGGTCCCTTGCGTCCTATCCACTGGCCTGGCACATTGTGATCCAGGTATGCTCGTACGTCCCTAAGATAGTATGGCGGGGCACCATCTTGTTGGAAATAAAACTCATCATTATCGAATAATGCATGAATGGCAGGGAATATGGAGTCAGCAAGCATTGTTAGGTACGTTTCTCCAGTAACAGTAAAGCGGAAAGGCCCAATGAGTCCCCCTTGCAGACAAACCACACCACACATTTACACCATGCAAATTCACAGCCTTTTCAACTGTAATGAGAGGATTATCTTCAGCCCAGTGCACACAATTGTGCCTATTGACAGTTCCATTAAGTTTGAATTGGGCTTCATCCGACCAAATTATGCCACCCATAAATCCCGGTTCACGTCTCACCCTCTCCTGAACCTGTTCACAAAATTCTAAAAATTCTAACCTTTGATCATCACTTAGCTATTGCAACAGCCTTGGAATGTACACAAGAAACTTGCCTTTCCTCAGAATGCGTAGCACACTATTAGCACTTACATCACTTCACGTGCCGCATACCTTGATGATTTTTGAGGTGAACTCTGAAACAGTTCCAAGACCACAGTTGTGGACTCATCACTTGTAGCTGTATGAGGTCGCCCTGATCGACCTTTAAGCACATCACACACTGTTCCGTGAATTTCAAATTTGTCTTGTAGACGTGTAATTGTTAACCTTGAAGGTGGTTCTGTACCATACTCATGTCTCCACTGTCTTTGAACCACAGCTACATTCTCAAACTTCTAATACCACTTAATTATCTGCTTCCGCTCTTCAAAACTCAAACGCACGTCCGCCATGTTGCAGTTACTTCCTTGCCACTCTGGCACTGT